TCAGCAGAAGATTCAACACAGATGGTAAAAACACAACAACACTGATTTGCAGGCTGACTAACTAATACCTGTCTCACTGCTTCCAATATGTACACTATACAGATTTGCATATACTGTACAGTATTGCCCATATACGCAACAGTAGCAGCAAAAACAAAGGCAGCATGAGAGATAATCAGTCTTAAGTCCTCATCTAAACTACACCCAGTCTGTCCAATGCCTGCTGGCCCTGGGGATTGTGCTGGAGTTTTAATCCACTTAAAAGCAGAGGACCTCTGCTGCTGTTTCCAAGGGGCTTGACCCACGTTGGATGCGCACACACACACACACACACACACACACACACACACACACACACACTAATACACTTGCACAAAAACAATCAGTATATATGCAAGCAGCAGTATACACAAATCCAGTCACTCCTCATAAACACACACTGTTTTTTCCACACAGTATTAAGGTAAACACACAAATGGATGCATGCATTCCACGTTAATCTGGGTGTTAGGTGTTGTGAAATGTGTTGATAATGACATTTATAATAACCAGTTTGAGTAGCAAAGTCCGGTCATTTGTTTGAATTGTCTACCTTTAAAACACGTCCCGAGTAGAAATGTAAACCTATATACAACCTAACACTGACTGGATTTATTCAAGAGGGGTCAACAGTAATTCCACCATTGTTCAACTCCACTTTCTACTGTAGGTCTGCTACAGCATGCTTGTGCAAGGGTGATCTAAGTTCTCAACCTTTAATATCACAAGAATTTCAAAGGGAATTTGCTCCACTTGTTCACTTGACTGCACTAACACAACTGCAAAATTATAAAAAAACACACAACATTGTTCCCATCAATGTGTTGGAAAATTAACTGTGATAAAAATGGTTTTGGTTTAGCAATAAAAAATTATTTTTGCTCATTTTTAATGGCGTATTTTGTGCCACGGACACAATGTCATACTTTTTCTCTTCTTGCACCAACGTTTGTCGTTATCTAATTTGAAATGTACTAATTCCTTATTCTTGCGGAGGGAGGGCGAACCACTGACTTGAACAGCTGCTTCATGACCCAAAAAACTGTCAGTCTTTCCCTGGAATAAATTGTGGAATATACCATCTTTGGGTACAGGGGGGAGCTGGAAACATGCATTTTCAGGGAAGCGTGTGTCACTAGCAAGTATGTACGATTTGGCGGCATCACACATTGTATCACAATATTATAAATTTGAATTCGTTAAACGTGGCACGTTTAAAACGTCAAAAATGGTGAAAATAAGCAATGCTTTAAAGTGCACCTCCCCCGTGTTTCTGCACGGTGTTTCTGGAGGACCCATAGTAGAATCAATTCAGCGAGAGGGGAGCTTGAAACCGTCCACTCATGCTTACCTCCGAGTCTGAGAGAAACACAGTCGAAGTGAACACACAGACCAGTCGGCCGCACTACATGCCCACAACAGGCAACCTGCGATCACTAACCAAAAACAACAGCAGTCTCTCTGCTTATAATAATAATAATACTCCTCTACGAAACACTATGCAAATGTCTGTAAAACTTGCTGATATGTCACTTCATGAATGACAGAAGAATTTCATTATGATGCTAAATCTTTAAAAGTGTAAGGTCACTATAACTCACTATAGAGTGCCACAGGCATGTTGTGAATACCTAGAGACAGTACTCCTATTAATATATATATATTTTACAATTAGTTTATGCGCCTGCTCTGTCAACAAATATTCCTAATATGCCATTTTAGATTACACATAGGTTATTCACTTCAGGATTTGTTATTTGTATTTAACTCCATGCACTATTTCACCTCGTGCAGATGTTATGAATGCAGATGATACTTTAACCTTCTTCAGGCGAAGCGACTCATAATGTGATGCTCTGAAGATCACGGCAGTGGGCTTCAGCATTTCCGCGTGTTGGTGTGCGTGCGTGTGAGCACGGATTCCTGCGTGCGTGTATTTGCGGCTATAAAGGTCCCATGTTCAAATGAAACTTTATTCTTTTCCAATTCAAACATATAAAACAAAGCGGTTAAATAAACAGCCCAGGATCAGTTGGTCTGTTTAGAAGTAGAATCTCAGCCAATGTCATAGATTAAATATTGTGTACAACTGCTTCTAATACTGGTACACTGGCTGAGTACATATACACATATGCACTGTGTCCCACTCATTTTTCTCATTGTTAATAGCTTCACTAGCTTGTCTTCTGTTGCTTTCACTAATCAGCTCCACTGCATCAGCTGGACATGCCTTGCTCAAGGGTTTCTAATAATGGGCAAGGACAACTCACATAAGCTGACACAGGCGTCGCTGCTGTCAAACCAAGGCAGCAACAGCTCTGGGTTTAAAATAACTCTTGGGCAAGGCATCCACCCCACACCTGCTGGATGCTGTGCAGCTGGGTGTTTCCCAGATAAGAGTCAAACTGCTGCACAAGAATGAGTAATTTTGAAAAAGGTAGGAAATGTGCTGAGTTTCATGTGTTGGCCACAAAGCAGAAAACCGGCATTATTTAGAGTCCAGATTACACCATCATGCTGTAACACAGGCTGCAGGCATGTGCGTTATCATCTGATGGTAACTAAGGGGTTATTGCATCAAGTTTCATGTTACAGTTAAAGTGGTTCATCATGACAGCTCACACGAATCCTTGTGTCTATGTCACATGACTAAAATGGGTGCAGTATTTGCATGCATATACAGTGCACCACATGCATCTGCGTGCACGTAATCCTCATTTAAATGTGTTTGCATGTGTCTTGCTGAGGGGTGTGTTTCCACGCCACCAGCCCACTCACCAATGTCACCTTCATGGGTGGCTCCATCGTAGGAGCATCCTACAGAATGTAACAGATTAGCTTTGCAGGCAGGGATGTTGATGAGGTCATCACTTCCCAAGGTCACACCTACACGAATCTAGCTATAGGCCCACTGGCGTTACAGCTCCCCCACCTCTTCAGATCCTATAGGGGCTCGATTCTACCTCCTGCCTGTGTGCACCCGAATAAGGCAGAATAAGCCACATCCAACAGGATAAGCATTATTGTAATGCTCAGTGATAGAACAGGCTGCTTCGGACCCTTCAGGCTCCCTTAGCCCCGTGAACAGACTTGAAAAAGGCTGGATAGCTCTGTGTTGTAACATACTGTACTATCACTTATACAGTAGTTTTACTAAGCTCCTATAGACTTTTTAATCCCTACACACGCATTTAAGCATGCTGCGTAGCTGTAAGCTCTGTTATGCAATGATTGATGATCAGATAAACCCCATTTAGATTCAATCACTTTCCATGTTCATATATTTAAACATACCTAGCTTGGAATAAACTGTGTGCAAAACTTCCCAGAAATTAAGTATGCAAGAAGAACACTTGCTGAGCTCCTGCAGCACTTTCAGGTCTCAGGCCCACTTGTTGTTCTTGCCCGTCTGGTAATGTAACTGTGTAACACTGTGAACCAAAGTACTAACTTTGTTCACATGATAAAGTCACTGATTTACAGATCATTGTTTGTGAGAATTTAACAAAAACTGTTATCATAGGTCTTGAAGGTGGCCTTTCTCAGTCCCTGCATCTCTTCTGCCTGAATATCTCGAAATATATGCAACTGTTCAGCATTAGTGCAGCAAGCATGCAAAAGATGGACTTGTACAACAGCTACATCTGTATGTGTACTAATTTTCCTCCACTGATTCTCTACGGAAGGCAAATCTCCCCGCTGTACAGTGCTACATCTCTTTCTGTATTCCTCTCCCCTCGTGAGACAATGAAGGCATTGAGGCAAATCTGTTTCCACAGCCTGCGAATAAGAGACAGCCAGCTTTGTTTTGCACGAGTGTACACGCACACACATATGCGTGTGTGACAGATAAAGAACAAATGTGTTTGTGTACGGACACACAAGTATTTGCATATCCATGTGCAAGTGTGCGCGCGCGTGTGTGTGTATACATGTGTGCAAGATGCCTGCGTCATGCGTTCGCCATGTGAGTCACTTGCTCTTGTGTAGGGCTTTAAGTAGTGAGTAAGAGCCCTCTACTCTTGTCTGTCTCCACTCTCATACTCTGGGGCCCCGAACACACAACAAGAGCACTGCTGCTTCCTCCTCTCGCCACAACTTCATCTCTGCTCATCGCCCAACAGGTTGCCCTGTCAATAATGAATGCTCACAATGCACTGTACCGCCCATTAGTTTGAAGTCTGAGATACACTCAAAGCGAGGCAAGCACGTGACCACAATCACCTGCCTATCTGTCATTCCAGAAAAGCAATCAAACAGTTTTTCTTCTCCATCGCTGGTGTCTTGTCAGAAATCTCAGCATGATGAGACGACTATATTTGAATAGCAGCTCAGTCCAGAACTGTCTTCTTCGGTGGCCTATGGGGATAATTGCAGGTGAGCCATGGAGGAGATGGAGAACAGCAGTGCAGAGAGAGATAGGTAAACACACGAATGACGTCTGCGGTTGATGACTAACGCTGTAGTTCCCTATGACTGTATTCTGGACTGCTGGAATAAAGGTTGACATGAATCCTCCACTAGCTAGTGCTAATTACTCCTTGTGAGCCATAAAACATGGACAAATATTCTTTATCTAAACAGGATATCACTGCTCAGCATTTATATTGTTATGGTAATATGTCATTGTTTGTCAAAATGTGAACAGAGCCCTTATTCGTTTGCTTTGTTATTTTTGTCAGTGTCGTGGGAGTTCTTTTAGGGCGCTTTTTTACATGCAAAACAAAAAACTGAGAAAACATTAGTTATGTTGCCGTGTGCAGCTGTTTTTGGACTTATTCCACCATCTAGTGGTAGTGCATAATGCTGTTACATATTGGGGCTACACACTTCCTGTGCATGCATCCTAATTACTGAGATGTCAGTAAATCACTGAGAGGTCAGTAAATCATTGAGAGGTCAGTAAAAACACATTTGTCTTTACAAACATCAGCGCATCTAAGAAAAATATTAATCACTCATACGTCTGATTAACTTTATTTCCAGAAACACAAGATAAAATAGGGTGAATGCACAAACAAAATCAATAAAATCAAAAAAAAATAATTGGCAGTTTTGGTCAACCTATATTGGTGCAAAATAAAGAAAACATAAGAAAAGTGCTCAGACAGACACATTCAGAGGTAGAGATAAAACACAAAGAAAACTTAGACATTAGAACACTGAAGGCCATTCATAGTTGACGTAAAATTTAACACAGATTAAAAAGTGCTGTGGTATAACATTATTTAATTAAATAGTACCATTATTTGAGATTAGATCTGTAGCACCTTGTTCATTGCGAGATCATTGTCATGCTACAAGTTTGTCTGTATCTTGTTTCCCTAAAAGATCATTCTTTTTTAACAATACAAACTGTATCAGCAGTTCACCATGGTGCAATACAAATGAAATCCATGAGGGTGGGTTTATAAGGAGAGTTTAATTCCTGGAATCTTTTTTTTTTTTAACGCACCCCCGCTTTGAAAACAAACACCACTTACAACCGTGTTCAACACTTGAGACTTCAACAGATTTCACCCTCATCTTATGTGGCTCCGTCCTCATCCTCTTCTTCTTCTGTCAGGCTGCCGGGACAGGGTTCCATCGTCACAGCGACGCCCATGCCGCTGCGTCCGACAGGCATGTTAGTGACGCACGTCCATTCATTTCTTTCTGGATAGTAACACTCTACACTGGACAGGAAGCCGTTCTGGTTAAAACCTCCTGGATGGACAAACCCACCCACCCACACGCACGCACGCACACACGCACACACACACACACACACACACACACACACACGTTTAATCAAGGCGTTAATAAACCCATTAGGGAGCTGTTCAATAGTTGTCAATAAATAATCAAATTAAATGATCCTGTCTTTTTTTTTTTTTTATAAATCAATTAGTAAAGTAATTTATTTTTAACAGGCAACTTTTAGGTTTTCAATTGATTTTATTTGATAAAGTCATTTCATCCCAATCTGGCATTTCATTTGCCTGCTGCTCGTCTGTTTATTCTTAACATTTGAACCATCCTCTATTTAATTAACAACACCGAGTCATTGATTTGAAACAAAACTGAGTGCAGCCCAAAGTGTAGTAATATAGGATCTCACTGGCCACCTCCTGACCTAACTGACTACTAATTAATCAGAATGATTTAATTACTTAATGGACCTGGATTATCATTATTCTATATGCATACCATCTTCTAAAAGGACATTTTGACATATACTAGAGATAAAGGCTTTTCTAGTATGGGCTGATTATCAAATTAAACTTCTTTTAACGTTAGTGTGTGTGGCAGTGATGGGACAGTCAGCCAACAACAATATGTGATTGTTTTATTTACACTGATAAGAGCAACAGGTTTGCTCAGTGCTTGATCAGACTCATGAGAGGGTACAATGGGCTTAGATACATGAAACTGTTCATGCACTAATAAGTGATGTCACACAAAACTGGCTTGAAGTCAGACAGTCAATAGTGATCAATAGAAGCTTCATCAGAAACGATATACAAAGCACTTCGGAGTGACCGTCACAAAAGTAACAATTAGACAAAAAGTGAAATAGTTAAATAATAATAAATAAATATAATTAAATTAAATAATATTAATAAATAAAATCTAGTAAATATAAATATATCAAAAAGTATTTAAAAATTAATAATTTTTGTGAGTGTTTGACTACTGTAATGACCTCATGTCCATCTTCTGCAGATGCAAGCTCCTCTAGCTCTGCAGTACATGTTGTGCACCCCCCCAATTTAAATCACATTTAAACTCTCAATCAATCTCATATACGGTACTTTGATTAGTGATGTAACTGACCGAGGACAAAGATGCATCCCTGGTGGACTGTCACTCCGTGTGCACTGCGACAGTACTGCATGGAGGCCCTGGGCTCCCACAGGTTCCTGGCTATATTGTAGCGCTCCACAGAACACAGCTGGTTCCGCCCGTCATACCCTCCTATTGCGTACAAGTAAGAGTTCACACACACCAATCCTGCAGATACAGACAGAGAGGGAACTTAAAGGAACAGTTTGACTGAGAGTTCGATGAGGAGATCAATATCACAGTACGGTAAACATGCAGCTGGAACCAGCAACCAGGCAGCTTATATTAGAAAACCAGGGGAAAGGGAGCTCACCATTTCATAGGTAATATCTCATTTGTTTAATCTGTACAAAATCAGACATGTACAAATGACCACTTCCAGTTTTACAGGAGGACTATTTCTTTGTGCAGTGGAAACTTCAGGAATAATTGATAGGTAGGTACTGATAGGTCAGATTTTGTTACCTTTTCATAGCGTGTGGCTACGTATTTCCCCGTTTCCAGTCTTTTTACGAAGCTAAGATAACTAGCTGTTGGCTGTGGCCTAACACTGAGCACAGAGACATGAGAGTGATATCGATCTTCTCATCAAACTCTATGCAAGAAAATTAATAAGGTTATTTTTCCCAAAATATCGAACAATTACTTCAAAATGTCAGAACGCACACAACAAGATATTAAGGGAGACTACTGGTGAACATGAGCATAATAAAATGCACATACACAGAAACACAGAGTCAAAAAAACATTTCTTTCCACTAACAAACACAAAATCAAACTCAAATGGTTTGTCTAAATCTCAGATTGGAAAAGTTTGGAAAGATTGAAATACACACACTCACCCAATCCACTACGTATAGTGTTCATGGGTGCCAGCTGGTGCCAGGTGTTAGTGTCAGGCTGGTATTTCTCAGCAGTATTCCAGCGGTTCTGCCCATCATACCCCCCAACCACATACAGAGCCCCCCCACATGCCGCCACTCCAGCACCCAGGCGAGCCACAGACATTGGGCAAACAAAGGACCAGCGATTAGACTCTGGATCCCACCTGCAAACCAAACACAAGTTGTGCAGTGCATGTAGTCAATGTAGTGATAATCTGTTGACATTTCCTAATGACGTTACATATTGGTAAATTAATACAATCAAATGAGTGTATCAGTAAGCCAAAACTTTAAATGTTACAGGGCTGTGGCTATGTGCAGAAACCTTCTCTCCATGAGCCAGTCAACTTTAAGTGGATTAGGTTAAGCTGGCAACCATGTTTGGCAACTATTGACAAGCTTTATTTGAAGCCAAAGAGGGTGTTACACCACTGAGAGCCACATGATTCTGTAGTCTAACAGACGTCTCTAAATACTTCGTGAATTTTTCACCATATGTCCATGGTGTTTTTTTTCAAGGTTTTTGCGCAAAATATCTAATAATACTGTAAACTATATGTCTTATGTTTTTAAAGGAATGGTTTGACATTTTTTCCAAATATCCTTATTCGCTTTCTTACTGAGAGTTAGCTTAGAAGATTGATACCACACTCATGTCTGCACATTAAATATGAAGCTACAGTCAGGAGATGGTTAGCTTTGCTTAGCATAAAGACTGGAGGTAGGGGAGGAAACTAGCTTGGCTCAGTACGGAATGTTAAAAAAAAAAAAAAAATCACCTATATCTTGTTTGTGAAAAAACTGAACTGTAAAGATTATATGAGGGGGGGTTATGTGCCTATGACTATTTCGTGGCTGGGTGCAGTGATTTACCCATTGTGAAACCCCGTGCAAGTTTTACACTTGGGCTTTTGTCCAGATTAAATAAACAAACACGTTAATTTTTAGAGATGCTGGCAGGTGCATTTTATTTACCTTTGGACAGAGCCAGGCTAGCTGTTTTGGTTTTGGTCTTCATACTAAGATATGCAAACCACTTTCTAGCTTTAGCTTAATATTTAAGAGACACATATTAAAGAGGTATCAATCGTCTTATCTAACTCTAGGCAAACAAGCTAATCTCCCAAAATGTTGAACTATTCCTTTAATACAGGAAGCTTTGTAAAACCAAATAATGCAACGTATAACAACAACAAAGAACTAAATCATGATGTGGCAGGTTGGACTGCATGTTCACAGACTGGTTAATGATGAAAAGGCTGTTGGCTTGTTCTCGGCACTGGGTGTATTCCAGCTGTAAACTGCTGATAGGAGGGTGGCTGATATTACATCAGCTGCCCTTAAACATTGGCAAAGTGCCCTTGAGAAATGCATGAAATGCACGTCACTTCTTGGGCCACTGCGCTGACAGTGACCCTGTGCTCTGAACCCTGAAATTATTACATGCAGCAAGGCAAATTTCAATGATAAATACTTATACACCACCTCAATGTAGCACAGTTAAGACCCTGAACAGGGAGGTATAGCTCCTTGTTGAATCTCTTACATGTTGCTTGGATTCATTTAGGAAGTATCCTCAGGAGCAGAGCCTTTTCTGCCAACCATTGTTACCAAAAATGCTCTAATCTCCTTTGATGTGTTTCACATTTTCATTTCAGTAGTTTTATCAGCGTTCATTATATTTTGCAGCTTCTCATGAAAAGACTTGTAAGTGGCGTCTGATGCGTTCTAATAATTCTCTTGTGACTAGCATCTTTAAGAAATCTATACCGTTAAATATAAAAAGGGATTGAGGTTACATTTGAAGCACAGTTCTTTTGATATGGAAAACGAGCTACTAGTATTATAAGAAACAGTCATTTGGCTTGACTTGCATTTTGTGTTATTAATTGATTGAAACTGATTTATAGCCGCATTAACTCCTCCCTGTTGGCAGTAGCAGCAACAAGACGTAAAGGCATTCCCGACCAGATCAACATTCCTGGGAATTATGTCTCAACATGTTTGAGTGTTTGAACATGAGTCAGTGTTGTTGTCTAATTAAGCTAAGAAGTAATACCTGTGAACGTCTTAACTGCTCTTTATATTGAATGGCAGCTATTCATTTAATCTCTCTCCTGCACTTCCTCATACTTACACCGAGGTAAATACACTTCATCTTTGTATAGGGGAGGAACTCCATGCTCATTACATTCATCGTAGTAAAATCAATTAAATTTACATTAAAATCAAATAACTTCTAGGGTGCCTAGTTAAATAAAAAAAATCATGACACTGAATGAACAACCTTAAAAAATGCCTTACTTCTCCACTGTGTTGTGATGAGTGGAGTCCTGGGAACCTCCGACAGCATAGATGCATCCGTCCACCACGCCCACCCCGACCCGGTTCCTGGGGATGTTGAGGGAAGCTCGCTGGCTCCACTGGTTGGTCATCGGGTTGTAGCAGCACAGGGCGCTGGACTCTGTGTTGTTTTGAAGCGACAGGTTCCTGCCTCCAACCTGGATTCACAAAACAGAGAGATTAATGCAAAAAAGACGTTGATCTCTTAAACTTTTCAAAACAAACATTAGTTTGTTCAGGAATGACACGTAGAAATTGGCAAGCGAGAAGAAGAAAGTGGGTAAAGTGATACAGTATTAAATATCAAATGTACACAGAAATGTGCCAGCACAGAACAATGCTCAGGCACAAAGCTAAACCAGTTTTTTATATCTCATCATTATATTGGATCATATAATTACATTATAATTATATAATTAAACACTATTTCACTTCTTTGAGTGATAGGTGGTATGACATAACTGGTGCAACCTACAGTGTAGAGCAGTCCAAACAACGTGCAGGCTCCCAGACCACTGCATGGAGACCCCATATCAGCCAGTTTTAGCCAGTCATTGTTCCTGGGATCATACGCCTCCATGGAGGCCAGTGAATGCTGCTGGTATCTGAACAGAGACATGGAAATGTTGAGTAGAGAGTTGACGCTCAATGTTCTTTTTATTTTCTCCACAAAAAAAGGCAAATGACTCCATATGCTGATACATGTATGCAGGCACGGTGGAGCTTGAAATTTATTAGCACAAATTGGTTCACGTGAAAATTAAAGCTACTCTCCCCCCGGTCGGCCCAACACAGTGCACATGCTGTTTATATCTGTGCTTTTATACCAGCTGAACACAAAATGACAAATTCATTTTAGAAATGGAATAACAAACATCAAATTACTCAAAACTGCTCATTCAGCCTAATCCAAATGTTCTGCCATAAAATGAAAAATAACACCTTAATTAAACTTGACACAAACCTGTGCTTTATGACTGAGGAAAATAGACACAGTATCAGTATGCCACTATAAATAACGGGCTTACAAAACAGGAGGGTGCATTCGTAAACCCAGAAAGCAGTGCACCTCTGGAAGGAAGACCTAACAGCCACTTGGTGGAAGACTGAGACACTTTGTGGATTCATGAGGCACTTAGCACACCAGTTGTGTATTATAAGTGGACATCTGTGAACACAGCTCAATCATCAACATGTAGTACGTCCTAAAGTATGAGCAGTGAAGTCACTCACACCATGCGTCATCTCATAATCAGTTTGTGATTATCGATGTCAAAAACAGGTCCCATGATGTGTTTGTTACGGCTTAAAGAGTTTCTTATAATAAGTGTGCAACCAGTAATACATTGGAGAACAAAGCAATGTTGTTGAGGAAATAATATAACATAACTACCCGCCGGCCACATAGATAAGTTGAGTTCCACGGTTAGGTGCAGGAGGCAGCTTTCTCAGTGTCATATCCTGGAAGATTTTTGACAGGAAGTCCTTACAGGAATTGGCCTGGAGTTAAAAGAAAGGGCAGTGATTTTAAACCTGTAAAGTTAGAGTAGGTAACTGACTTTTGAGTATAACAGGTTTTACTGAAACAAATACCAATGTCCATTCATTTCTATTTCCAACAAGAAAACAAAATGCAAGGCTGCAGTTTACCTTGCTGAGGATGGGGCAGGACAGGAGCTGGTTCTTTAGGAACTTGGGAGGCAGGGCGTATATATGAACCGCATTCAGGAGGGCATGTAGGTACTGGGCTCTACCCTCCATATCCCAGCGGACCCAGTCTGTACAGGCTTTATACACCTGACATGGATTTATTTAGATATATCAATTATGTCAGATTGATATATGAACTAATTGCATTTGTGCAAAATACTGTTGGCACACACTCTGACTTTACAGACCAAATTTACAAGTTTAATGTGAATCAATGTAAGTTTCTTTTACTTAAATGTGGTAAAAACCTGCCCATCTGGTGATTCAGTAAGGGCAAAAAATAAGACCTGTGTCTCTAATGAATGGTTTAGCTGTTCTTTGCACCAAACGTGCAAAACTCAAACATCTGACAATATATAGTACTATTCTTATACTTTTACCCAAATAATGTTTGCAATTTACTAATACAATGAAACAACCCATAGAAACATTTATAAAAAAAAGGTGGTGCATCTCAAAAAATTTAAATGTTGTGCTATTTTATTCAGTAATTTAATTTAAAAAGTGAAACATTCATACATTCTAGATTCATTACAGATAAAGTGAAATATATTTCAAGCCTTTTTTTGTTTTTATCTTGATGATTATGGCTTACAGCTGATCCAGTATCTCAAAATATTATAGAATTTTAGAATAAAGAATTTATAATAGAGAAATATCGACCTGAGAAGAGTTCTAATCAGCTCAAAACTCAAAAACACTTGCAAAGGTTTCCTTAGCCTTTAATCTCTCAGGCTGGTTCATTGGTGTTCAAATGTACTTTTCCACGATATTCAAATTTTTGAGATGCACCCGTTCAAAACAGAGTTTCAGAAGAAGCAGACCATACAGTGATTACAATATGTTCCGTACATGTCTGTCAGTTAAGATTTGATTTACTTAGTTCTTTTAATGCCACACACCTCAGACTCACAGAGCACCTTGAGACTGTCCTGACTGATGAGCTCAAGCAGCTGGCAGTGAGAGAGGCTGAAGAACTCATCTTCTTTTGTCACCTAGAGACAGAGGGTCGCAAAGGTACACAAAAGCATGGTCAGATAAAGACAATAATTTTTTATGTGGATATCTTTTCAAGTTCATGTATAATCCAGTAAATGATGTGAGTTTGTAGGTAGCTGTTAGAGCACAGACACAGAGGGAGCACTCACACGCTTGTGAAAGTAGAAAGAAAGGACATGTGCAATGACACAATTAAGCATAAATTCCTGGTGCTATGATGCAATCAACACGTCAACTTTGTCCTTGAGACAAATAAGTGAACATGCAGCTGTACTGTTCCCCCAGTTATCACAAGACCTGATTACAGCAAAGCTATAACCAATGAGATGTGCTGCTGTGACTATAGTGATACATAAGAAGGTATATAGACTCTAAGCTTCTTTGGTGACTTACTGGCTACTACATGCAGTCTATATGTCACCAACCATCATCTATTAAATCTAGAAACAGAATGAAAAGTGCTACAGCTTTGCTGCTGACCCTTTGCCTGTCAGGGCCTCTGGTTCAGGCAGAGACGGCTTTACAGTCTGACATTAGTGCAGAGTTGGGAGCACTGAGGGCCACGGTGGAGGAGTTGAGGTTGATGGAGGATAGACTGGCAGTAAGCGAAAGCAAAGTGCAAGCTCAGGAGAAGTACATTAAGGATCTAAGAGCAGAGCTGGATGTAACCAAGATGGAGTTACTTCAGTACAAAGAGCAGGCAGAGGAGATGGGGAAAAAGCAGACAGGTAACAATAACAAAGATAATCACTGATCTGGTGAAGGAAAAGATGTGCGGCTAGGAAATTATATGTGGTTATAAATTAACATTTTATACTTCTGGGGTCATAAACTTGAAATTGATTCTTTTTTATTTTTGAGTTGGTATGAGCCAACTTGAACAGATGAAAAAGGAATATTGTGCAGCAGAAGATTTGTGGTATCGAGCTGCCACTTGTACTTTTCACATGCTTTCACAGGGGGACCCAAAGTGGCTTTCTCTGTGGCTTTGACTGGAAGAGTGGGACCTTTCAACGTTGAAACCACACTGATCTACCCAAAAATCATCACTAACATCGGCAATGCTTACAACACCTACACAGGTATGTGTTTTTGTGAAAGTGTGTTTTTTAACGCATGCTTAAAGATGATGTTACTCCATGACATGCAGGAGGGAAAAATAGATTTTTCTAATTATTATGAATTTCACTAAGCTCTCTATCTGTTTCTTTGTACTACAATGCAGGTTTCTTCACAGCCCCCATCAATGGTGTCTACTTCTTCAGGTTTAATGCCATGGATGGCCGGAAAAACAACCACATGGGTGCAGCATTGTACAAGAACAACCAAAGAGTGCTTCTAAACTATGCCTGGAATCACTGGGACGACCATGAGCATGTTTCCAACGGAATTGTCCTGGAGCTCTCTCAGGGAGATGTAGTGCACATGCGTCTTCCTGCATGGTACAGTGTCACTGATTTAGGTGAACATTACTTCAACATTTTCAGTGGTTTCCTTCTCTTTTCCATGTGAGGATAACATGGCAGGACTGTATTAGAGGCTGCATGTTTCTTAACTGAAAAACATCTCAACTCTGATCATTAAATATACCGTGCGTCACATGTTTTCTTAACAAAGTAAAGCGCAAATTACAATAAAATAAGCATGCATAAAATATTTGACTTGACTGAACACCTGACTTCACTGTATTTCAAATAGTATGCTTGTGCTCTCTTTATTTGCACCTCACCTCATTGAAGTGCGTATTGATATACTCTCGACTCCGCTTGTGCAGCTCTGAGCAGCCAATCTCCTCAGCAAAGCGAGCGATGCCGATGACATTAGCAGGCTCCAGGTGCTTAGTGAGGAAATCACAGCATGCCTTGGCCACGTCCTCCATCTGATACCTTGTAGAAAAGAACAGAAAAGGGGGGAAACTGAATTACTTCTTGTTTATTCCACCAAAAAATGTAATTCAGTTGGTATTTTAATGCATACTGGTAAATTGAAAGATAAAAACCGTGTCAGAATAAAGAAGTCAAGTCTGTATTCAGATTTCAGCGGTTTATGGTGGATTATATTTTCTAGGAAATATGCTGCTGTTTAAATATTGTATGTTTACCTCATAGCAGCCAAAAGAACGTGCAACACACACTTCTCTCCCACTGTGATGTGGGAGGTGTAGGCAAAGTCAATAAGTCTTCCCACCACCTGGGGGCAGACATCGGGCAGGGTGACCTCCGAGGCGCTACACTCCTTGAAGCTGCTGGTGAACATGGCTCTGAAGTAGGGGCTACAGGAGGCCAGTACCACCTTGTGGACCTGGGAAAGAATGTATTTATGATACAGAAACACTGCATTCACTATACTTGGCCAATGGCTGAATGTAACCTCTCTCTATAGGGCCGCAAAAGTGACAAAATGTAATAAAAGGTTATTAGACAAGTCAAAAATATGACTGAATACGTCATAAATAAAACTGTTAGTTAAATAAAAGAAGTTTTAGACTTTAAACCTCCAATGAGTTGGTATAAAAGGCCATTCAGTTAAATTAAATTACTTTTCATTAATATAAATTTTTAGTAAAAAAAAAGATCAATTAATTAAACGTCATTAAATAAACTGGAAGCTATCAGTAGGTAGGGTTGTGTTTGTGTGTACATGTATGTATGTGTACATTTCATGTTTTTATATCAGGGTGGGGACTTCAACATGAATGCAAACTAACCGATGGGTACTTGTGTCACTGTGGGGCCAAAAATTGAGGTCCCCACATTGTAGAACCCTTCTTAGGGTTAAGCCTTGGTTTCAGGGTTCAGATTACAGTTAGGTAAAGGTTAGGGTTAGAGTAAGGCATGTAGTTGTGATGGTTAATGTTCAGGTAAGAGTTGGTTCAAGGGTTCATGTTTCAATTAGATAAAGGTTAGGGGTAGGATTAAGGTTAGGTATATAGTTGTGACGGTTAAGGTTAGGGTAAGGGGCTAGGGAATGCATTAGGTCAATGAGATGTCCCTACTGGCATAGAAGAACAACCACACGTGTGTGCGTACATAACATAATGAAGCAAAGCGTTTGTGGCTGGCTTGCTTAACTGAAAACACGCTGAGCACTAGCTTTTTCAACTAGCTGCTCAGCTGAAGGTAACTTTCATTATAAAACTACACCAGCCAGTGCAAATAAAGTTAATCATCATTTTCTGTCACATCACTGTATAAACTCTTGAAACCTGGTTTGCAACTAAAAAATATTTTTTATTATTGATTACTTTGATTATTATTTTCCCATTTGGCCTCATTCCCTAATTTCAAATCGTATTCCCATCTACCTACATGTACAGTATGTATGTACTGGTACATACTGTACTGCTTAGTTCAAAATATTACACGATGAATTGTGAAGAATTATACTGTATGATGTATAATACTATCTATGGATGTATTCGGTTGTAATTTTGACCTGTCCGACAACCTTTTACTACATTTAGTCAGTTTCAGGGCTCCATACAATGCATAGTACTTTCAAAGTTTATAAATGTGTATTTTGAGAAACTGAGAAAGAAACCTCCCACAAAATGGTACAAACTGCATTCTGATTGTTTAATTTCACCTTGAAGTCCACTGTCCTGTCCTTGTATGTGACATGTAGCACCAGGTCACACAACATCTCCTGCCGTCTGAATTCCTCCATGACCTTGAAGCATCTGGAAGTGTGGGTCTCGACCGTGTAGTCAAGATACCCAGACCCATGCATCGAGGGAACCGCAATAGCTGAGAAATCAGAGTCACGTGTGGGACGTTTCTTCCTCATAGGGCAATGCATTCTGGGAGACAGGAAGAGAAATACTCCAGATTTTTTTTGAGTAATTACCTGTTAAGTCTTACAGTCGTCTACAGTTAAAAGTTTTTAGTTCTTATCCCATTGAGGTCAGACTTTCACAGAGGAAATTCATTTGGTCTTTTTTTCATCAACGTAAAGGCTCCAGTGAGCAGACGTCCTTAGTTCCTCCATTTTGCCTCAAATTTAACACAAAAATCTATTCAGTTAGTAGCCATTTCCGAAGAAATTAGGGATGTGAACAGTGTAATGGTACTATCCATTGGTGATCCCAGCAACAGCCGGCAGGCAGAACAAGCAGTCCCGAGAAAAGGTCATTTGCTACATGAAATATGTTCAGTTCATACGTTTCTCTGCAAAAACACACTGGGTAAACTAACTTATAGACTGGTGCCTCATGCACAGATCCAGGCTCCAACATGATTGATTGTGATTGAATCAGGTTAACACAGTTCCCAAAGCACGAGTTAAACCACGGCCATTAAATTGCTGCTGGTCCAGATTTTACAGATTTCAGGGTTTTGAAAGTAATCCATTCTGACATTTCAGAGTCCTCTGCAATTAAGTGTTCCACAGGAGAAGAGGAAGTGTTTGGCAAATGTGTGTAACTGCACAATCAGATGTATCCTGGCAGGGATTTCTTTTAAACCGCGTCTGTTGTGATGCTTATCCTGCAAAAAAAAAAAAAGAAAAACAGATTAAGTGACAAAAGATAAAAGACTTTTATTGGTTTAAAAAGAAGATAGTGGAATCATGTGAATATGTCGTTTTTCCTTCTCGTATGTGTGTGTGGGTGTGTGAGTGTCGCACACTCAAGGTTTCACTTCCTTGCAGCAGAAATAGAAATATTATGTTGATCTGCTTCATGCCACAGCTTTCCCCCCAAGGAAATGGGCCAAGCTAAAAGCACAAATGGTCTCTGTGTTTTCTCTTGAAGCTTAGAAAAGTTCTTTGCAGCATGGTGAAAAAAAAAAAAAAGAGTAACAAAGTTTATACAACAAGCTTTTAGCAGAAACAAACTCAAAGGGGCACAGTAACAACACACAAGAACAAATGTGTCTCTATTTTTAGTTTGGTTTATTTAGGAAAAGATTTCTGTAAATCTGTAAATAGGTAATCTGGAATTACCTATTATAATCTGGAATTAATGCTCTACGATTTTTTGTTTCTTAATTATATTTATTTTATTTCAGGGATCTCAACATGGAAACTAAAAAGGATGTAGAAAGGCTTTCCCGTACAGGCTGAATTGTAAAGTATTTGTAACACCACATACTTATTTGTTTATAGTGCATATTCCGATTGATCGAAACAGTTGATCAAACGAAAATTAATCTGCAGCTACATTGATAGTTGATTAACTATTTTAGTCATCTTTAAGCAAAAAATGCCAAACACTGAATGGTACCAATTCCTCAAATGTGGGAATTTGCTGCTTTTCTTGGTGTTACATTATAATAAATTGAATAATTTCGAGGGTTTGGGGTTATTCGTCAGACAAAATAAGACATTTGATAATGTCACCTTGTGCTCTAGGCCAATGCAGTGGCCAATTTCAGTGTTTCAGAGTTTGTGATTAATCAAGAAAACTGTCCATAAATGAATAACAAAATAAATATATAATAAAAATAATCTGTAGTTCAGCCTTCAGCCCTCAAAAAGCTAGTTCAGCTGTTCAAAAATAAGCTTGATTATTTGTCAATCAGGACCAGTTAAAAACTGACTCTACAGACAGCAGCAGGCTGATAAACATAACAAGGAACACACATTCACACTATTTAAAGTAACACAAGGTATGAATGAATTCCTACCAGACACCAGAAGCTGTCACAGACCAACCACTTCAATTTTTCCGTAAATCACATTCATCATGTTCCTGCTAATTTGCAGAGTAGTAAAAGCACTCCCTAATGTCAGAACAGGCTGGTGTCATCACTGTACATAGTCAAACCTGTAAATGTAACACACGAGAACACACTAATAACAATTATTTGACATAATAGGAGTGCAGTAAATTTAAAGTATGCAAACACCCCTTATCTTGGTGTTTCTGATTAAATATCAACAATTGTATTTCTACATTCACTGTCAATCCTGAAATTAGAAGTAAAGAACAGGGAGAGGTAAACTGAGGTGTGTCTTCAACAGTTTCACGGAAAGGTCTGAAAACTGAAGTGTAAAAACAAGTTGTGGGTTTAAGGTGGGTGGGAATATATTTTAGTTGGGAACAATGACTTTAAATGTGGACAGAGCCAGCTAGCCGGTTCTCCCTGCATACATTCTTTAAGCTAAACTAAGCTAACCATCTCCTGGATGAAATTTTACATTAAATGGACAGATGTGAGCATGGTATCAATCTTATCATTTAGCTCTCAGCAAGAAAGCGAAAAAGCATTTTACTCAAAATGAAACAGGAAGTTGTTATAAATTCAGTGCACATGCTTAGATCTCTACCGAACTTTACGTGCTTGATAAGGGTCCCTCCCTGAACACATCTACATGCCAATATTCCCTCAATGTCATAGCGCCACCAACCGGCAACAGGATGTAAGCCGTTTGTGACAAAAATAATTTCACATTCATGTACTGGTACAAAGCATATGATAAGAGGGTGTTCTCTAGCGCCACGTAGGAGACACAGGAAGTGACATATAACTCCTTCCTGACCAGTACAAAAATCGCCAGATACTTCAGATCCGCGTCTACCAACCTCCTGCCACTGTGCCACAGCACGCCACAACCCAACACGCATCACGGCAGGAGGGCCTAATGCTTCGTTGTGTCATATAATTACAAAAGAACTGTAACTCTTATCGGTTACAGTTACTAGGAAAAAATGTTAAGTTGAAAATTAAGTTGCAGTTACTTATGAAAATGTTCATGATAACATTTGGGGTTACATCTGAATATTTTCTGTAATTAGCTAGGCTATACGTTAAGTAATATTCTTTTTTTTACATGTTTTCCGCGTGCACAATGTCTCCCTTTGCCATTTTCAGCCACAGCCATTTAGTAAAGTTTGATGCTATCATGTGTGAATTTGCAGCACCACTTGTCTGCCAGTTAAATTGCCTCCCAAGCTGTCTTTTGAACATGGCTAACAATTAAAAACATTCATTAGAAATTTAGAAATCAAAAAGTAATCAAAAAGTACATACCAGAGATGCTTACAAGTCTTTGAGCTAGAGTCCAAGTCTCAAGTCTCTGAGCTAGAGTCCAAGTCAAGTCTCAAGTCTCTCGTGGTTATTACGAATGTTGTATCACCTGCTGCGTTCAATCCAGGTTGCTAATAAAACTTCATAGCTATAAGGAATACTGTTAACCTGTTTTTCATTTACAGAGCACAACCATGTAATGTGCAATGCAATTAATGACAGCTTATTAAATACTGTAAGTCAATAAAACTGTGACTTGCATAATCAACAATAAATCTGTCTGTTTTTAACTTACAGAGCACAATCATGTAGCCTAATGTACAATGCGTCTACAATTAATGACAGCTTATAAACTACTGTAAGTCAACAAACCCTGTTGAGTTTCAAACCCAGTGTAAAGTTAACTAAATAATACTGTAAAGTTACATGGTCAACAATAAAGCTGTAACATGTTTTTAACTTACAGAACACAACCATGTAATGTGCAATGTAATCAAGGACAGCTTAAACTACTGTAAGTCAACACACCCTGCAGACTCTCAAACCAGTATAATGTTAGGCTATAACTAAATAAAACTGTAAGGTTAGGCTACATGATCAACAATAAACCTGTAACCTCTTTAATTAACGTGATGGCAGCCAGCGGGACGTAAATGATTACGTTAACCGACCACCACAAGTTTGGCGAGTAAACAAACGCTCGTTCATCTTTTCATAACGAACAACAGTCAGAGTAAACCTCCCGTAGCTTGTAGCTGAAGCAAGAAGCAAGCTAACCTTACATGGCCAATGCTGAGCTAAACATGTTCACTCATCACATATTTGCGTTCAGCGCTTCTTTGTTTGGGTCTTGTTGTATGAAGTTTTAAAGCCAAAGTTTATGAGTCTGAGTTTCTAACTCAAGTCCCCATCTCTGGTAGATACTTTGATAAAATAATTGAAATAGTTATACTACTATTACATTATAGGGTAGGGTAACTTGTAATCGGTAACCTATAACATTTCCAAAGTAACCTTCTCAACACTGCTGATTAGATTGATCAGGATGTAAATTCTATTTCTTATTCAAACTTTCTAGGTTTGGAATATTTACATTGACTTTGCAATTCCAATGCTTGGGAATTACCTTAAAATTCCTGGAATAAAGATAATTATGTCTCATAACATCACACAGCAAATGCAGAGCAACTGCATATCCAGCAAACATGAAATTTCTGCATCCCAGAGTGTCACTGGCTGCTACAGCATGAAGCAGAACAAATCAGCTCTTGACTTGGAGAGCAAGAACTGACTTCTGCTATGCTGCCTGTTAGCTACAGTGTATTTATCTGTGTAGAAACCCTTAGAATCAAAAGCAGGAGATTAATTTTTAGCATGAAAGACACAAAACCTGACCCCGCTAGTGACAAAACTACTCTGACCCTCTGAGAACAACAGGAATACTTACAGCACCTGACAGTTTGGAGTTAATTTCAGTTTTGCGCAATCAAATCTGTTCAGCCTCGAGCTCCCTCACCTCTCACACTACAGCTAGCCAGCCATTTTTTGCTTGTCATATGACCAAAAGTGTGAGACAGAAAGGGGGGGGAGAGCAATGCAGAGAGAAACAGATTTTGAGGGCAACATACAGGAGAGAAAAACAAAGAAAGAAAGAAGAACAGAATGAAGGAAGAATAGGAATTACGCTAGATTTACCTGAAGGAAGATATAAGTGGGAGAGATCAGTTCAAGGAAGGACTAAGAAGGGAAGCGATAGTCATTAATACAGTAGAGCTACTCAGTTTTCCATAAAGGGCCATTGTGCTTATATCAGCCTGTCCTACTCTCCCGATCAGGCTTTAAGAGGGTTAACAGTTAATTACTGTTTAAACACAATGCACAGAGCTTGGCCACTATATAAAGCATTGCTCAAGCCTGCAGGAACACTCTGAGAACACTGCTACACCAGTTTTGACCAGTTGATTGATTTCAACAAAGTTGCAAAATCACTGTTTGACCAAGGTCCTGACCGTTAACACTAGAGGTGGTAGTACTGTTTGGTTTTGTCAAGTTTATTTCTCAAACGGCTGTTTGGAAGTGAGAAGAAGAAGATGCAGATTACTGGGGGCTTCATTGATGAAAATGCGTACGCAAGTCTTTGATTTATTGTTGAATGACTTCAAAAATTCATCACATGACATGTGTACTTGAGACACTAAAATTAAAGACAAAGTCATTTTAGCTAATTGATTTTGGCCTCAAGGCTGTTTGTTAACGGAACAGAAAACAACAGAGGCAGAGAGAGGGAGGGTTAACCATTTACAGACTGTTTCTGTTGGCAGATGGTAGAGCAGTACAGCAGTCTGGGAACACATCAGCATGTGCAGTCAGCTTTGACTTGAATATACACAACAGACTATAGGGCTTTGTATAAGGAGTGAAAACGCCCTCAACTCTTTGAAAATATTTTGTCTAAAAGTGCTGAGCAGTAGTGACCACACGTCTTTTGCAATGTTTTGTAACAGAAGTGACACAAGCTTTTCTGCCAGGTCATCTTTCAGCTGACATGGGGTCAAAGGCCGCTGATGACAAATCTTTTTTTTACTCTGAAATAATATCCCTAAGACAAGAGAGCATCAGGGAAGCACTGAAGAATCACAACAGTGAACAACTCAACCACAGGAGCCAAACGGACAGATCCCCATGTTTTAGGAATATTAAATGACATATAGCTGTTGACATTTGAGTTCTAAAGCTTCCTCAGAGGACATCTGATGGTCAGAAACTTCAGCCACGTGCTGCACACAAACTACTGTAACATAAAATAACACTTGAGAATGAAGAATTACAATCGCCAAATGCTGCCTCCTGACCACAAACTCGCCTTATCAGAAACATTAAATATACAGTACACCGATTTATCACTTAACAAAGAAAATTCCTTTGTTATCTCTGGTAAAAGGTTCAACCACACTGAACAGACATATTAATATTTACTTGTTGCAATGCAACAAAAATAGGTCTAGTCTTATAGTGCTCTATTGGGGTTTTGCAGTGTGTGTGGTATTATAATTGATCAATCCACGATTTTTTTCAGCTCCAGTTAATTTGTGTTGATCCTCTTTCTTGATGATGAAGGACGTTATATTTCCCAGCAGGGATTCATCAAGTGATTTTATTGTAAGTAGAGCTGAAACAATTATTCCATTATTTGACTGACAGAAAGTTTATCTGCAACTATTATGATAATCGATTAATCATTTGAGTCCTTCTTTCAAGCAAACATTTGATGGTTATGGCTTCTCAGATCTGAGAATTAGCTGCTTTTCAATGTCTTTATGCTTAGGGATTTTTGGTCAGTGGACAAAACAGGATCTTTGAAGATGTCACTTTAGGCTATAGGAAATTGTTAAGACATTTTCACAATTTTGTTACGTTTCAAAGACTAAACAATTACTCAGGAAAATAATCAGAATTGAATATTGAAAATAATTGTTGGCAAAAATTCCACCTTTCTAGGTTTTCAAATAAAAACGTATTTTTATTATTTTAGATTAACATTATTGTTTCATGCAATTAATCGTTGCCAGAAAATAGTGCAATCTGTTTTCCAAAGTGCTTATTTTGTTTTGGACCCTCTAAAACCTCAAGATATCAAATTTGCAATGATATAACAAAGGGAAAGAAGCACACTCATTAAAGAAGCTAGAACCACTTTTTTGGCACTTTGCTTCTGGGTCTACATATTCAGCTCTCTGTAGCCTATATGGATTACAGATCATATATACTACTATACAGAGGACAATGAGCAAAAGTTTCAATTTCCGTTTAGGAGTCTGCGCACTACAGAGGAAATCAACGGAATGATCGAAAACAAAATTAAACAACCGGATATGTTAGATTATCCCCTGTAAGAACCCGTTACTATTATTGGAAGAAGTAGGCCTACAAGAACAAATGTCTCGAGTGCTAATTGTAAGTTCACACACGGCAACAATGTTGAATATTACAGTGATTTTTCTCCCCAAAGGGCGCGTCCACTCAGCATGAGAAACTGTTACTGCAACAGCTGCAAAATCACTCACCTAAAAGCAACTCCTAAACGACAGCTGTTAAACTCGATATCACATGAGAATACAGACACTGCTTTTACGCACGACTTGTCCAACCGCAGGAGGTCTTCCCTTGTCGCTGGCTGAAGCTGTCCGTCCAGTCAGGAAACCTGCAGATTTGTGTCATTCTTCACGTTGTAAAATAAAGGCGTCCGAAGGTAGGGAGGAATTTCTGCACCAACATGACTCTGCAAAACTCTCGCAGTGTGTGTTTGTGCGGGAGCAATACGCATGTGCAAGAAGTCAGGAGCGGCATTCCTTAAACTGAAACTGAACGTCTGCCATAGCAAAACAGCCGACAGATTCAGGGATTATATAACTATTACACTGCTGAAAAGGCACGATAATTTTGATTGATGATTCATGGAGACAAATAAAACGGGGTTTCATTTCTGGACTGGTGACTCATCTTGGCTGTGAGACATTTTATCCTTTAACAAACAGTAAATCCTATCATTACATGTACCACAATAGGGGATTAGCCTATATAAATGACCCTATATCAAGCGCGAAAAATATATCCAGTGGAGGAATGTAACTAAGAGGCCTGCGTTTACTCACTGTCTTCAAGTACAAATTTGAGGTAACCCACTTCACTATTTTGCAGCTTTATTCTTTCCACTAAATTTGTCTGACAGTTTCATACCATTACTGTGCAGTGAAAATCAAGTATCTCTAAATTTGGTAAATTTGAATGTTTCTCATAAATTGAAGGATTAACTGTTCCTACTTCTTAAACCAAACTATTTATCCCCCTCTCCGGATTAACTGGAAAATAAATGCATCGTCACAAAGCTGAAAACAGGGCAGTTTTTCTGAGCTCATGAAAAGCTGACTTGTTGGAGTGGTACTTACAGGACAGCGACGCAATAAACACAGGATGATCTTATAGAATATGATGCATTGCTGTGGATTAAACATCCCCACAGCATATAAAGAAGTTAAAATGAGCACAACCGTAAACATTTACAGCAGCAGAGAACAGAGTACTACATTTGATTGTAAATTTAGATGATAATACTTTTACTTTTTCTTAGTGGAGTATTTTCACAGTGTGGTATTCTTTATGATAAAGGAACTGAATACTTGTTCCACCACTGACTATTTATCCCATGTGAATGCACGTCACCAATGGTGAATTGGTGATTTGTTTGAACAAGTCATTCTTAACTGAAGTTTCTCTCACTAGCTTTTTTCCGGTCTTCATCAGCGCATGGAGTTTGCTCACTCATGCAGTTGGCTACTTGAACAGTGAAACATGTCACACAGGTATTCTCCATCATTTGCTGAGCCAAAGTAATCCAAAGGTGACAGCTTGTGACTGTCCAAAACAATAAGTCAGACTCTCTGCCTGTTTGGTTGACTGACGCAGCTGCCTTCATAAGGAGCGACTCTGTGATCCATTTCCTAGGTAACCCACGGTAAATTATCTTTATTTTGTTTCATGCAGACAGATTGACTGACTCTCTTTAGAAAGTGTTGCATGTGACTTGAATGACACGTCATAACTTAGGTAAGCATAGTATCTTGTTTTGAATCAACATCCAATAGAATCTTCACACACGTATAGATGGGTGAAAAGTAATATTTTTTGGACACCCAGTGAATCTAGGTGGGTCTAGGAAGGTTAAATACTTCCCGCCAGGATGCATCCTTCAGGTCTGGTTTTCACTCTGTACTGCTGAGGCCTTTTCACCCCAGCTGGGCTTTAATAAGTCTTGTTGCTTAAGACATTCGGAGCTTCCTGAAACCTTCTTCAATAATTACAGTTGATTAGCTCACAAAATTGTCCATTACACTAAGGAACTTTTGTTCACGTTGAATGGAAAAGTTCAGTCTTGAAAAAAACATCAACAGCAAAAAATCCCACAATGACCTCAAATTCAAACTCCATCGCTGATGAAGTTGTTCTTATCTCATGAAAAGTTTTGGAGATACATGGTTTTCACAGGACAGTGACGTCAAGGTAAGTTCTTCATCTCCATAGTCTACTGCAATGTCTAAATAACTCCATGAACTGTTGACTGGTTTGATCAAGTGAACAAGTTTTTTTGGCAGTCTGACAGTTCATGTACAGATAGAACTTCCTTAAGAAATACATGAATTTAAAAAGGGGGGTCGGGGAAGTAAAAGCCTTTTTCCATTGTGCTCCCTGATATGATCTTCTTCTCCATTAGATACACACACTCAAGACTGCCCTAAGCCCCCCGACACACACACACCTTTTTTGGTGCTGCAAGCGCTCATCCTGACTACATCAAACACAGCCAGACTTCAGATGTACATTGAAATCCTGTCCATGGATATCTCAAACAGTAGGAGAGGTGACAAGCCACACCCTTGGCAGATGGCCGGGTTGAACATGCTTGACTTAAGACAACAAACACAGCTCTCTCTTTGAACATACAGGAAATGAATGACTTGCAACAGCAACCAGTGAACTCCCCATCTCTAGAATACTTCATGAAACAATTCACAAGCATTTCACACGCAGACATGGCTTCCCACAATCTCTTGATCACCTGATAGAGGAAGACATGTCAGTTATATTATACCCTCTTTCTACCCACCAACACTTTAAGCCCTTTTAACAAGCGATAATGAAAGAAACTGAAGTACAAAGATAGAGATTAGAGTCTAGGTGGGGGTTTGAGTTTGTACCAGGTGGAAACTGTGGGCGTGTATTTGCACCACAGCATATTTCCAACTGTGTCAGCTAATATGACATTCAGGAAGTCTACCTGTTGTTGTGATTGCATTATTAAGCGCACTTCTCACAATCATCATTAATCATATTAAGATAGTGATTGACTGGAGTTAAAAGACAGCAGATTCATGATGTGAAAGCTGCTATTTCACTTTGTAATCGCAGAGCATTTAATATTTGTAGCGCAATTCAGATGTCTCAGGTTAGATGTTGCATTCAAACTATTTTCTTTCCGAAAAGATGGATCGGACTTGTACATCCCACAGATGCTCGATTGGATTAAGATCTGGAGAATTTGGAGGAAGTCAACACCCTGACCTCGTTTTTGTGTTCCTCAAATCATTCCTGAACTATTTTTGCTTTGTGGCAGGGCGCATTATCCTGCTGAAAGAGGCCACTGCCATCAGGGAATACCATTTCCATGAAGAAAGGATGTACATGGTCTGCAGCAATGCTTAGGTAGGTGGTAGGTGTCAAAGTAACATCCACATGAATGGCAGGACCCAAGGTTTCCCAGCCATGTGCCATGTGCTCCCAAGGTAATCGATGCAACCGGCCATCCATGTACCTTCTTCCATTGCTCTGTGGTCCAATTCTGATGCTCACATGCACATTGAATGCACTTTCAGCAGTGGGTGGTGTGTGGTTAAGCAACAAACTGTGATGCACCGGTTGTTTTGACACGTTTCTATCAGAACCAATATTAACTTTCAGCAATTTGACCTACAGTAGCTCGTCCGTTGGATCAGACCACACGGGCCAGTCTTTTCCTTCCTTGGACCCCTTTTGATTTGTACTAACCACTGCAGACTGGGGAGATGCTATGACCCAGTTGTCCAGCCATCACAATTTGGCCCCTGTCAAAGTTGTTCAAATCCTTCCACTTGCCCATTTTTCCTGCTTCTAACACATCAACTTTGAGAACAAATTGTTCACTTGCTGCCTAATATATCCTCTGACAGGTGCATTGGTAATGAGATAATCAGTGTTTTTCCCTTCACCTGAAATAATGTTGTGGCTGATTGGTGTTTGAATCAAAAGTACTTATTATTGCACATAAGTCAGTGTTACATTATTATATGTTATCTAATTGGGTTGTTGTATGCATTAAAGTGTAAGCATAACAATGCATTGAATTTTATAAATGGCTGAGAATTAATCTACAAAGTAACTAGTTAAATAATTGTAGTCAAGAAAAAGTATAGATTTCCCTCTGAAATGTAGTGAAGTTAAAGTATTAAGTATCACAAAATGGACTAAAGTTAAGTGCAAATAGCTCAGAATTGTACTTAAGTACAGTATTTGAGTAAATGTGCTTGGTTACATTGCACCGTTGGAAACCGACTGCAACAGTTCTCACTCAACAAAACAGAGAGACATATTTTTGTGACAAAAAGCTTCCACAGTCAAGAAAAGAGTAGCTGTGTTTTAAAATGAACAATGCTAGAACAGTGCTGATTTTTACTTTGATATGTGATAGTCGATTCAGTCCATTTACTGCTACAAGGAAGTAATAAAACAAAAGTACAACAGCACAGTGACACAGCAAAATGCAGGCCACATTTCAGTTCTGTCAGTGAGCACTCTTCTCTTCTGTCCTCTTTTACACCGGCCTCTGTGCCTTCTCCTTTCCATAGCTCCATCCTCTGCTGCTTCTAACCTCCCCTTTATTTTTTATTCCCTTATTTCTCTTGAACAGTAATGAGAGAGAACCATTGCTTAGATTATTACTAAATTCCGATTTAACTTTTTAAATTGAGTGATGATGTGACAATGCTGCTGGATAACAGGTGTTTGTGTTTGGTGGGAGAACTGCAGGACTTTATTGACCTTTGTGTAGTGTGAGGAGGGAAACCTGACATCATGCTCTGTGAATGTGCTGCCCTCTGCTGTTTGACTACAAAAGCACAAGCACGTGTGAAAAACACTGTTGGTAAAAGGGCACTCCGCCGATTTTACCCATGAACTCAGTTTACTCCTGACAAGTAAAACACAGCCTGTGAAAACAATGGTATAATGTCTTCTGTGGCTTTGGAGGGAGGGGATTCAGACCCTTCTTAAGTAAAAGTAGCAGACCACACTACAAGTAAAAGTGCATTCAAAACCAACAAATTCTGGAAGTATTATCAGCAAAATGTACTTAAAGTATCAAAATTAAAAGTAAGGTGTTTAGTTTATTTAACTTCAGAAATCGGT